GGGAGAGGCTCCAGAGGCCCTGCTGGATGCGGTTAGCAGCCCCGACCTCGCTAGCCCCCCCCCCGCCCCCCCTCCCCCCCTCAAACAGCATTTTACATCCCAGGACAGGGGGAAAGTGGGAGGGGACAGTTCAATATCTCACATACCTTTCCACCCTTCTGTTTGGGACTCTCGTCGAGTGTTTTCGGGGCTTCTGGGGCCGTTTGGGGGCGTCGTGGGCGTCTTGGAGCGAGATTTGCAGCGCGCTTCGGCCCTATGGGGCTTCCTGGAAGGAGTCTTGGAGCCTCTGGGGACCTTGTCGGGGCCTTTCGGCGCTTCTTGGGAGCCTCTTGGGTCAAAAGAAGCGTCTGATAGCAGAAAAGGTTTGAACCCGAAGCACGTTCAAAACCCGCACGACGTTGACGGAGTTGGCCTCTGGAGGCCCTCTCAGGAAGCTGTTCGGGGCTCACTCGTCGAGTGAGCCGTCGTGGAGCGAGATTTGGGGCGTAGCCAGGCTCTTTTTGACGGTCTACAGCGTGCTCGCGAGGGATTCCCATGGGGCCCCCAGCAATGGCGGCACCGCCCGCACCCCCAGTAGTGATTTCTGCGGCTGACGTTCTGCCACATTGCGCAAAGTGTCGCCAAACCCACCGTCCCTGTCAAAAGCCATGCAAAGTGTCGCCAGGTTCGCGAGCATTGTGCATTGCGTGCAGGCGTGCACCTGCGATCACTCCTGTTTTTTCGAGAAGGTGGTGGGCCTGCACGCAGCAGGCGGTATGCCACCACCACCACCCACCTTGGCATCGCTCGGACGTGTGCATTTTCACTCGGCGGGAACCATCGAGGACCATCCTGAACCATCGAGCAGAAAAGACACACGCACGAAGCCGAAACACGCACGGGGACTGGGCGCCCGAGCGACGGCAAGCCGCGCCGCCCCCGGCAGAACGAACTCTGCACGTCTGGTTGGACTCGGGGGTGGCAAAGAGGGGGGTGATGACTAGGGGGGGGGGGGGGGATATCGTGGCGTGGGCCACGATGTTCCCCCAGATGTCCTGGCGCCTCTTCTTGTTTCATTACGTCCCTGCCCCCCCCCCCCCGCTGGGCCGCGCACCTGCCGCCGGTCATGATTTGCACCCCCCCCTCTTGGACACCCCCCTCTTGGCCGCTGCCGAGCCCAGCGACTGCTCGATCAAAGCGCGCCGTCCACGATCTACTCGATCCACCACGGCCTGGTCCGAGAGCGCCAGCAGCGGGCGCGACGCCTGCGCCTCGTAGACCGTCGCGGCTGCCGCGCCTCCCTTGGAGAGGTTGCACCTCCCCTCCTCGTCCTCCTCCTCCTCCTCCTCCTCCTCCTCCTCCTCCTCCTCCTCCTCCTCCTCCTCCTCCTCCTCCTCCTCCTCCTCCTCCTGGACACCCCCCTCTTGGCCGCTCCCGATTGGTTGGGCGGGACGGTGGGCCTGCGCACGGCGGGCCGCACACGCCGGCCTCCCCGGCGATCCTCGACGGCAGCCCATGCAGCGCAGGCACGGGGCGCCCGCGCAGGAGTCCAGATGCTCACCACCCACCAAAAACCACCCCAACCCAATCCGGAGGAGGAGGAGGAGGAGGAGGAGGAGGAGGAGGAGGAGGAGGACGAGGACGAGGAGGAGGACGAGGACGAGGAGGAGGAGGAGCAGGACGAGGAGGAGGAGGAGGAGGAGGAGGAGGAGGAGGAGGAGGAGGAGAGGAGGAGGAGGAGGAGCCCGTGCAGTTTGTGCTGCTTTCTGGTTTTTGCCATGGATGGTGCGGGGGGCGGCGGCGGCACTGCACGCGGCATGCGGTCATGACCGCACCCCGCGGCCCTGGTCAAGAGGTATTCGGAGCGCTCGAGGGGCATCCGCGCGTGGTCCAGACCCCACAGTCGGGGCCCTGAAGAAGTAACCCTTTTCGTTGGGGAGGAGCTCCGCGTTCCTGAAGTGTTTCGCAGCTTGCCTTGGATTGTCCTTAGGTCTTCGATACGAAATCGAAATTCAACTTATGGAAAATGGGGGCCTCGTTCCTTATTTAGGGTTCCTTAGGTCAACGTCCCGACTGTAGTGCAAGGTGCGCTGCGTATCGTTTTTTTCTCAGGGGTGGTGGGGGGGGTCGGCATGGTCCAGGGTTTGTCGACAGTCGGGTGGGGGAGGGGGTGAACACTATGAAGGAGCAGTGATCAATGTTTGTCTGAAAGGGAAGAGGGCGAAATGGAAGAGGAAACCTTCTAAACCACCTCCTCCGCCCAGAGGGCTAGTGGGATTATGATAGTTTGATTGCTAATGGCCCGTCGGGTCTCGCGTGCCCGAGCGAAGGTGGAACTTGCATAATTTTCTTTGTCCCATGTCTGCGCACCGCTGGCCTTCTCAAAAATCGAGCTTGACAGAGTTCCCTTGAGGCCTCCAGAACCCCAGCCAGAAATTTCGAGATCGTCAGGTCGTCGGTCCTCTCCGTCCCATACTTCCGATATCGCGATTTTTGTCAGCACAGGGCCCCCCAGAAGTCCCAACCCCTTCCCCAGGCTAGGTTTGCATCCTGATTGTTTGTTGACAGTCCCGGGCCCTGGAAACGCTCCCCCAGAGGCCGCAAATGACGCTGGAGGAATGGATTCCTCCCCCCTCGCACTGCCGTCCCTTCTTGGCCCCACCAGTCGGAGGGGATCGCAGTAAACACCAATGAGCCAACTATTTCGGCGAAGGAGCTCGCTGTACAGCTGCAGCATCCCACAGCTCGAACAAATGGAGCGTCTGTGCACCGAGCTCCCTGGCCGACAAGACGACTTGGTGCATGCCGCGCCTTTTTGTCGCAGGTCAGGCACCCCAGGTGTGGCAGTGAGAGCCGCATGGTCGCCCATTGGCCCCGAACTCCTGCATGCGTAGGGCTGTTCGCCGTTGTCTGGCCACCCCGCCAGCACACGGTGCAGATGGAGAAAAAATGTAGTGGTTCAAGGTGAGGGGGCTTACCTCAGCACCTTACCAGCCTGAACAAGCATGCCTATCTCTACGATTGGCACCCGCTTGTCTCGAGGCCGATCTTACCGATTCCTCGAGCTTACGAGGGCACATCCCCAAGATTATCTGCGCCCTGCGCTTGACAAACTTAGCGGTAGGGATGAGCTCGAGGCTGCTCTCACAGTCCTCTACCTTCGATCCACCCCCCTGCTCTCCCCACTGGGGCCTCGGAGTCACCGAGAACGTTGCAGGGCGGCGCCCTCACGGTCTCAACGACGTTGGGCCCGCAAGATGTATCCATGGGGGGGGGCTACCGCCCCATCGCCGCCTTCCGCAGGGGGCGTCCCCCGCGTGCGCGTGGAGCGGTGTCCGCGACCGTCCTGTCCGGTGCGCCGCTGCCACCTCCCAGGGTCCGTTTCTTTCAATTCGAACGATCCGATTCGATGTCGACTTCGGCCGCCTCGATCCGGTTCGATTCAAACGTTCTGAAGATCCGCTGCGGCCCCCGAGGCTTGCATGGCGTTGCTGTGCCTCCCGGCGCAGCCGATCCGATTCCGACTCGGTGCGGGTGCGGCCCGATCCGACGCCCTTTTCGGTCCGAACTGCTCCTTTGGTCCGATCCTGCCGGGGCCCTGTGGGCCCCGTGGCAGCCGCCAGGCGGCGCGCCTCGGCGCTCCTGGGGCGCGGGCGGGCGCCCCGCTGTCCGACCTGCCCCCGCGGGCGGGGATAGCTTTTCCTCTCTCTCTCTCTCTCTCTCTCTTCCTCCTCCTCCCCCTCCTCCTCCTCCTCCTCCTCCTCCTCCTCTCCTCCTCCTCCTCCTCCTCCTCCTCCTCCACTTTCTCCTCCTCCTTCTGCTCCTCCTCCTCTTGCTCCTCCTCCTCCTCCTCCTCCTCCTCCTCCTCCCCCTCTCCTCCTCCTCCTTCTCCTCCTCTTCTTCCTCCTCCTCATCATCATACCCCCGTCCCTGGTGGGTCCGCCAGGGACGGGGGCAGGCCTGCCGATGCCGAGACCCCCCCAGGAGCCATCTCGATCCGATCGATCCGAGTCGATGTCGATTCCGGCCAGCCCGATCCGATCCGATCCGATGTGCATGTTGGGGCGATCCATTACGGTCCGACGCTCGCCGCATGCTGCTGCTGTGCAGCCTGGCGCGGCCGATCCGATCCGATTGCGATTAGGCGCCGATGCAGCCGGACCCGATGCACATTCCGACCCGATCCGATTTGCCGATCCGATGTTGCCCGATCCTGCCCCAGCGCCCCTCCTCACTATTCGGGCCCGACGAGATTGTTCATAGGCAACGGGGGGGTATTGAATCTAGTGCATGCCGCTGGCTTCGGTCCTGCCGCCGGGCCCACTCCTCGATACATGGGCGCCTCCTGGCGCCAAAAGGGCGCCAGGAAAACCAGCTACTCCAGATTTCGTAATAAAGGGAGGGGGGTCTCATTTCGGGGGGGGTCTCTTCCAGGCTATCTTGGAGGGCCTGGGGGGTCTGGGGACGATGTTTCGGAGGGTTCTCCCACGGGGGAGGTCTGAAATGGCTTGTCTTGGAGGGTCCAGACCCCCTCCCTTTTATTACGAAATCTGGAGTACGTGAGTTGGTTCCCTACCATGTTGCGTGTCCGCCGCAAAAATATAGACACATACACCCTCTAATGGAGCGGCCCTGGGCCCCAGAAGAGTTTGGCGGGGTATAGATCACCACCTGAGGGCCAGCGACTCTATACACCGCCGCCCTCTCTGAAGGTACACACAGAGTTTGTCGGCGGGTGCCTGCGTGTATGCTACATGACGTACTTTGCTACCTACCCTTTCTCGAAGAGGAAAAAACGGCATGAACATAAACTTTTGGCGCTCTACGCGGACTTCTTGGATCCGCGCTGGGCCCCCCCAGCCCCCCCTGGCGGCGCCTCCAGTGCCGCCCCTGGCTCGCTCCAAGCGCCAGGGAGGCGGGTCCAGCGCAGATCCTGAGAAATCCGCGCCGAGCACCAAGAGTTGATGTTTACGCCGTGTTTTCTCCTGCGTTCGTCCCCCCCGACCCGTGCCACGCCCCAGGACCCCATGGGCCCCGTGGCGACAGCCTACGGCGCACCCCGGCACGCCTGAGGGGCGGCAGGCGGGCGCTTTCGGCCCCCGAGTCTCACGCGCGGCCAGGGCGGGCCAGCCTTCGGAGGGCGACCTCCGCGCAAAGGGCTCCGCCCGCGCCTCGCGCAGCAGAAGGCCCCCGCGAGGAGGAGGAGGAGGAGGAGGAGGAGGAGGAGGAGGAGGAGGAGGAGTGCCTCGGGCAGGCCGCATCGTCTCACCGATCCCCACCGGGCCACGGCATCGCAGCCGTGGCCAGGCCGCGACGCTTTGGGACCCTGGAGGCCCCCATCGCCAGAGTGGTCCTCGGGGAGCGGCGCAAAGCCCGAGGCCACGCGGTCATCCCAAGCCCCCGCCGACTCCACGCACGGCGTGGTCATTGCGCCGGGTGGGGGCCCCCCAATTGGAGCCCCAGGAAGCCCCTGGGCGGGGGGACCGTGGGCTTCCTTCCGGCCTCGGCATCTTCAGGATCCCAAAGCGTCGCGGCTGGGCCACGGCATCTCCAGGATCCCGGAGCGTCCCGGCCTCTTCAGGACCGTATCCCCACCGGGCCATGGCATCTCAGCCCCCACCATCTTGGCCACCCAGTTGGGGGATAGGCCACGCGAAAGCCGAAGGGAGCAGCGCAGATGCCCATCCAGGGGGGCGATTCGCACAATGGGGGCACGGCCGCGTCAGTGGGGATAGGGGTCGGTTAAAAGATGCTGATGTAAGGGAATTGGTCCCAACCATCCTGTGGTGTTGGATCCTCGTTTTGAAGAGAGAGCGCCCCGCGTTCATTCCTTCCTTCCGCTGCCCCATCCCTCCTCCCATCGTCGTCATCATCATTAGCATCATCATCATCATCATCATCATCATCATCATCATCATCATCATCATCATCATCATTAGCATCATCATCATCATCATCATCATCATCATCATCATTGGATTCCCTTCGAGGATTACCTGTTAAACTTGGAACGAAACAGAGAAGATTAGCATGGCGCCTGCGCAAGGATGACACCACAAATCGAGAAGCATATACAATCAGCATCAACATCATCATCATCAGCATCAACAGCATCGTCAATATCATCGTCTTGTTGTTTTCCCAACCATCTTGTGGTGTTGTGTCCTCGTTTTGAAGAGACACCGCCCCGCGTCACCTCACCTCACCTTCCGCTGCCCACTCCTCCATCCCAGCTGTTCGTTCCCCCCTCCTCTCCCTCCTTGCCTCTGCTCTCCCCAGTGGCACAGGCCGCACGCGTCAATGCCACTGATTTAAGCACACCCCTCACACGGATCGTGGCCCCACAGGGAGTTCCACCGAAGGCCCCATTGGCAGGGTCCGCATGCGGGGACCGCCACCCACTTTGGCACACCCTTCACGAGGACCGTGGCCCCACAGGTAGCTCCACTTCAGGCCCCAGCGACAGGGTCCGCACGCGGGGACCGCCACCCATTCTGGCACACCTTTCACACGGTTCGCGGCCCCACAGGGAGCTCCAGCGGCAGGGTCCGCATGCGGGGACCGCCACCCATTTAAGCACCCTCTTCGCGCAATCCAGCAGCTGCCCAGCGCCCTCTCCGCCCGACCATTTCACTGTCGCGACGCACCACCCCCGCCCCACCCAGCAGGACGCCCCGCCCGCCGCCTCTTTTCATTGCTCCGCAGCAGCCCAGCGCCCCCCTCCGCCCCGACAGTACTAATTTCGCGACCCCCCCCCCTGCAAGGCGCCCCCCCCCCGCCGCCGACACCCCGCCCCGCCCCGCGCCGCCCCCCAGCGGCCATCTGCTCTGACCGTTCGTTGTTCGCACCGCGCCCCCTCCACTACCGCCACCCCCACAGTCGCGCCGCGCCGCCCCGCGCGGCCCTCCCAGCCCCCCCCCCAGCGCGACCGCCTCCGCCCAAATAGTTTCACTTTCGCATCGCACCGCCCTTCACCCCCTCGCCCGTTTCCCAATATGGCGCAGCAGCCCAGCGCCGCGCCGCCCCCACCCACCCCCCCCGCCCAAGCGGAAGCTGCCCCACGGCGCGTTGAACCATTTCGGCTCAAACCCGCCATGGAGTCGCGCACCGCACACCCACGGAGTGTTCGAGGGGCACCTTGCGCATCAAGGTTGGCCAGGCGGCACAAATCTCATGCACCCCATGGCCATGGGCACGCAATTCTTCCGTTCACTGGACGTCACGGGGCCTTGGTTGGGGCAGATCGAGCTGGAGGGCATTTCAATGTAGCTGCTTTGTGCATGGTCATAATTCACAGAGGTCCCGCGCAGGTTCCGCCCCGGGCCGAAGGCTGGATTAGAGGCGCGCGGGCTTCGAGCCCATCTAAGCCCCTCACCCCTCGGCCCGGGCGCACCTTTTGGGCCGGGCCTCAAAAGTTCCGCCCCAGGCCGAGGGTTGGGTTGGAGGCACGGGGACTGCGACACCATCTAAGCCCTTCACCCCTCGGCCTGGGCGCACCATCTTGTTGCGCAGTGTCCGGATGGAGCTCACACCGTCAGAAGCGCTACCTTCTTGCTCGGCCAGTGGTGAGGTTGTTCGAGGATGAGTCGATCTATTTCGAGGTTGCCCGGTGATCCTTGGCCAGGGCTTTATAGAGTCGATGTCACTTCAGCTTAGGCACCAGTTCAGAGTGGCCGTGGAATGTGATGGCTTGGTTTCAGATCTCAAGATGTCTAAACTATCAGCTCTGCGGCATATGTCCATTTGCGTTTGCTGGAATCCTGTCTTAAAAGCTCTGACGGAGGTGGACAGTTACGCGGGCCCTTCGTCATCTGAACGGCGCGACATTTCCGGCGTGACATTTCCAGTGAATGAATTACGACTTCGCCATTTTACCATTCCCATTCCACGCCCCCCCTCGCAAGCGCAAGCGGCCCCACGGCGCGCTGAGCTATCTTGGTTCAAATCCGCCACGGAGTCGCGCGCCGCAATTCCACGGAGCGCTCGCGGGGCACATTGCGCAGAACGCATGCAGTTCTCCCATTCACTGAACGTTGCAGGGCCTTGGCTGGGGCAGATCGAGCTGGAGGGCACGTCAATTTAGGCTGCGTTGGGCATGGTCATAATTCACTGAGGTCCCGCGCAGGTTCCGCCCCGGGCCGAGGGCTGGGCGGGGGGCGCGCGGGCCTCGAGCCCATCGAAGCCCTTCACCCCTCGGCCCGGGCGCGCCTTTTTTGGCTCGGTTTCGAGAAGTTCCGCCCTGGGCCGAGGTGGTTTGGAGGCGCGGGGACAGCGACCCCATTTAAGTTTTTCATCCATCGGCCTGGGCGCGCTATCTCTTTGCGCAGCGCCTGGAGCTCACGCCGTCAGAAGCGCCACCTTTCTGGTCGGCCAGTGGCGAGGCTATTCGTGGACGAGGCGATCTATTTCGAGGATGCCCGGTGGCCCTTGGCTAGGGCCTGATAGAGTCGATGTCATTTCAGCTTAGGCGCTGGCCCCTTCCGAGTAATTGTGCAATTTGATGGTTTGGTTTCAGATCTCAATATGTTTATGCCATCAGCTCTGCAGAATAGTTAAATTTGTGCCCGCTGGAATCATGTCTCGAAAGCTCCGGCGGAGGCGAACAGCCCCCCCCCCGTGGGGGTGGTATCTTTGTGTAGGTGGCTTGTGTGTGTGTGTCCTTGTGTGTGTGTGTGTCTCCAGCTTTCTCATTGCCTTTCTCGTTTCCTGTATCCTTCGGTATTTCCCATTATCATTATCTCTCTCTCTTTCTCTCTCTCTCTCTCTCTCTCTCTCTCTCCTTCTCTCTCTCTCTCTCGCTCTCTGCCGTTCTTGCCACGCCCCCCTGGGCTTCATTGTGGCCCTCTGCGCCTTGTCGCAGGGAAGCTAAGACTCTCGGGGGAGCTGCGTAAATCAATAAATGCGAGAAAAAACAGCGGCGCCACAGATGCGCCATAAGTGTGGAAACATATGGGAAACGCATTAGAAACGCTTGACGGCGTAAACGTGCGAACACACTATTACTTCATGTATTTATTGTTTCTAGTCAGATTATTTGGGATTCTGTGTGAAAACACGAAATGCCAGAAAAAACAGCGGCGCCACCGATGCGCCAGAAGTGTGGAAACATATGGGAAACGCATTAGAACCGCTTCAAGGCGTAATCGTGCGCACACACTATTACTTCATGTATTTACAGATTTTAATAATATTATTTGGGATTCTGTGTGAGAGCAATGCGTGCGAGAAAAAAAACAGCGGCGCCACAAATGCGCGAGAAGTGTGAGAACATATGGGAAGCGCATTAGAAACGCTTGAAGGCGTAAACGTGCGAACACATCATTACTTCATGTAGTTTTGGTTTTTCATTCAGATTCTTTTGATTCTGTGTGAAAACACGAAATGCCAGAAAAAACAGCGGCGCCACAGATGCGCCAGAAGTGTGGAAACATGTGGGAAACGCATTAGAACCGCTTCAAGGCGTAAGCGTGCGCACAAATTATTATTGCATGTATTTATGGATTTTTTTATAATATTCCTTTGGGTTCTATGCGAAGACATTAAAAATCAATGAAAACGATATGTTTTTTTCAATATTATTGTTCAAAAGTCAATAAAAAACTATGTGTTTTCCCATCTTCTTAATCGAAAATCAATTAAAACGCTGCGTTTTCCAATAATTCCAACTATTTCTAATATTTTCAAATAAAAACGCTGTGTTTTCCAATTTTCCAATGTTTTTCAAGGTTTCGGGTACGGCAACGGGGCGACGCGCGATCCTTGCTGGAAAACATTGAAAAATATTGGAAAATTGGAAAGCACAATGTTTTTATTGGAAAATATTGGAAATAATTGGAATTATTGGAAAACACAATGTTTTCATTAATTTTTGTTCAAAAAGATGTTAAAACACAGCGTTCTTATTGATGGTTCATTAAAATAATTGGAAAACGCAGCGTTTTTTTTTTATTGTTTTTTAAATAAAAAATTGGGAAACACAGCGTTTTTTTTTATTAATTTTCAATTAAAAAGATTGGAAAACACTGCGTTTTTATTGATTTTAAAAAATAATTAAAAAAAAAAACATTGAAAAAAAAACGCGTTATTATTGATTTTCCATTAAAATAATTGGAAAACGCAGCGTGTTTAATGATTTTTGGTGAAAATATTGGAAAACACAGCGTTTTCATTGATTTTTCATTAAAATAATTGGAAAACGCAGCGTTTTTATTCAGTTTTTAATACAAAGATTGGAGAACAAGCGTTTTTTATTGATTTTCGATTAAAAAGATTGGAAAACACAGCGTTATTATTGATTTTTCATTGAAATAATTGAAAACGCAGCGTTTTTATTGTTTTTAAATAAAAAACTGGAAAACACAGCGTTGCCGTACCCGAAACCTTGAAAAACATTGGAAAATTGGAAAACACAGCGTTTTTATTTGAAAATATTGGAAATAATTGGAATTATTGGAAAACACAGCGTTTTTATTGATTTCAATAAAACCTTCTGGATGCGGAATCCATCCATTTCTATTGAATTCCAATTGGAATCTAATTAGAATCCAAATAGAAATCCTCTGGACCTGGGACCCGTTCTCTTTCGATTGAAATCCTATTGAAATCTCATTGGATTTCAATAGAATCTTCTGGATGCGGAATCCATTCCATTTCTATTGAAATCCAATTGGAATCTAATTAGAATCCAAATAGAAATCCTCTGGATCTGGGCTCCGCTCTCCTTTCATTGAAATCCAATCAAAAGCAAACGAAAAACTAATACAGACAGAAAGAACGAGAGGGAGAGAGAGAGAGAGAGAGAGAGAGAGAGAGAGACAGCAGAGAGAGAAACCAGGAAACACACACAAGCCACCTACACAAAGATACCACCCTTACGCCCCCCCCCCCCCCCTACATCTTTCACCAGTGCCAGTTGCACACGGCCCCTTCGTCATCTGAGTGGCGTGATGGTTGTGATTAATGAATTATGATTTCGCCATCCACTCCATTCCCCGCCCCCCCCCCCCTCCCCAGAAGCTCGGCGACCCCCGCTGGTGATCCCTCGCGCAGTGCTGAACTGTTCATTTCGGCTGCTCAATTCTCGATCCTAGCCCGGGTCAAACACTCGCAGCTATTAGTCGCGCGCGCGGTGCATCTTCCAAACAAGAGTAACTCTCCAGTGCGTTATACTCCGCTCGCGTTTGGCGCTCCGCAAACGCACGTAGCACCCCGCATTGGCAGATGCATTGAGGAGGCGGCGGGGGCGGCGGCAGTCTGCGAGGTTCTGAAGAAGCCCGCCGCAGGTGCTTAATTGCCCCGCAGATGTCTGGCGCTTCGCGCACCCCCATCAGCCCATCCAGAAGCACATCGCCAGGCGGGTTGCCTTGACACGGGAAGTGTAGAAGGCGCAGCGCAGCGCAACAGCCGCCTTGGAAGCATTTTCTCGAAGGTCTTTTGGACCCATCTTGGGGCTCTCCTGGGGCCCTCGCGGGGCCATTGGGCGCGCTATTGAGGCCCTCTTGGGGCTTCCTTGGGGCCCTCGCGGGGCTCGTCGGCGGGCGCGGGGGCCCGGGGGCCTCTCGGGGCCACCTGGGCCCCCATGATTCAATGAGAGGGGGGGGGGAAATTCAACCCCTTCCTTCCTAGGAAAACATGGCGTCTCGAAGCCTGCCCGGGGCGCTCTTGAGCGTTTTGGGGCGCTCTTGGGGCTGTCTCGGGTTTTCTTGAGCCCCTCCCGGGGCGCCCTGGGGCCGTCTCGGGGCTGCCCCGAGGCCTCGCGGGCCCGCTGGAAGTGAATGGGCGAGAAGGCAAACGAGCATGATTTCTCCTTCGCGCACGCGCGCCGTCTCAGCGCACTCGAGCTCCAGCGCCTTCGCCGCCCCCTTCGAACTGGGCGCCGATCAGCTCGTTGAACTCGCCGCCCGCGCCCGCGGCCTGTTGGCGGACGGCAGCGGAGCAATGGGGCTTCGGACCACCCCCCCACACACACACACACACACACACACACACACACACACACAACCACCACCACCACCACCACCACCACCACCACCACCACCCCACCCACCCCCCCCACCCCCCACACACACACACACACACACACACACACACACACACACACACACACACACACACACACACACACGCACGCACGCACGCACGCACGCACGCGCGCACGCGCAGGCGCAGGCGCACGCGCACGCGCACGCACACGCACACACGCACACGCACACGCACACTCGAGCGGGGGGGGGCACGACATGGGAACAACGATCCGAAACGAACGAAGTGGGTCTAAGTGGGGTGGGCCAGCCTGACAGCACGGAGTTGGCGCGCGCGGGGCGGGCCAGCATAATGCGAAAGCAGGTCAGCGTTGCGTTAGTTGTTCCTGTGCGCGTCGCCACCTAAACGATCCACGTTTGACAAACGTCTGGCAGATTGCTTCGAGCTGGCCTTCGCACGTTCGTGAGCGCCCCCGAAATTTCCCGAAAATACCCCGTGAATTTCCCGCGGGCTTCTCGTGGATTCATCGTAAACATGTGGCGGGGTCCCCTCAGGCGCGCCTCAGACCTCCTGCGAGCCCACAGCCCGCTCGTGGCAGACGTGCGTTGCCGATGCCACATGTATACACACCAGGCTACAGATTAAACATGGCCGGCGCCTGAATGGTCGGCCTCAGGGGCGGGCCCCCCCCTACAACTGCCCCCGCCTTCCAGCGAGGAGGCGCGGTGCGATTGCCGTCGGGGGCCACGCCGTCGGGCGCCACGCGGCCCGCGCCGACGGCGCCGTCGCTGGGCGCGGCCGCCGACGAGCCGCCGCCAGCTGGCGCAGGCGAACTGGCCGACGCTGGCCTCTTCGCGACCTTGGACTCCTATACGTTGTTTAACGAGTTTGCATCGCACAGTTCCGTTTCATCCCTGCTCATAGTCTTTCTGGCTCATGGACTTGGCCCTGCGCAGCTTGCAGGCCGTTGCTCCGTGGGCCCCCCTCCTTTCAGTTGCACGCTGCCCCGACTGCCATTGCGTCGCGGATTGCCAGGTCAGCAGCGATATCGTGCACTTGCTGGGACGCCAGCTGGAGCGCTGCGGGCCAGAGCAGCTCAATTGCCCTGCGTGCCCGAGCTGTCCGCTGCTGCAGTGCCCCGAGCCGTCGCTCTCGCTGGGCACCTTCATTGTGGGGCTGCTCGTTGGTGTGCTGTCGGCAGCGACCGCTGGATTCTTGTGGAAGAGGGCCGCACGCGCGCCGAGACTAGGATTGGATGGCGGCCCGCACCCCAGCAGAACGCACGCTGCGCTGCCTGCAGAGTCTGCAGGTGGGGTCGAGGGCCCTCGCCTACTACGACCCGCGCGATGACTACTGGCACGAGAGGATCATGCTGGCGCACATTCAGGACTTCCGCTTCGTGGTGCTCACCGCGGACTGGGACATCTATGATGAAGACATGTCCCAGGCGCTTCGCCTGCTGCCTCTGGGTCCACGGGGCGGCCTTCCCGTGCCGAGGCCACAGGGGCACATCCTGCGGGTGGACAACGCCCGCCTCAGCGTCGAGCTGCAGCAGCTGTGCGACGAGGCGGCGCAGCTGGCCTTGGACATCCGCGAGGAGGAGGGCTTGCCGGCCCCAGCGGCGCCCCATGGGGTGCTTGCCGACGGCGAGGCGGGGGCGCTTGCCGAGGCGCCGGCTCCTGCGGCGCTGGCGGCTGCCGCGAGGCCCGCTGGGCCAGCGGTGGGTGGCGCGGCCGCTGCCGGCGCCCTGGCGGCGGCGCCGGCCGCGCCGCACAGGGCGCCCGCGGCCGGGGCTCTCCTCGCCCCAGCCCCGCCGCGGCCCGCAGCGCCGCCAGCAGACGCGGTCTGGCTCGCGGCGGAGACGCGCGGGGGCTTCACGGCCGGGGCCCCTATCCCGCCGGAGCTCCTCGGCGCGGATGGCCAGCCGCAGGTCGTTCTGGGCGACCGCGGGGTCGTGGCGCTGGCGTCAGGCGTCTCACTGGCGGTCGCAGTGGCGGACACCCTGGAGGCAGGGGCGGCAGCGGTCTCCAGCAGTGGGGGAGACCTTCGCACGCTGCCGGTGCTCTACTCACCAGCTGGTGGCCGCTCCAGGTCCTTCCACGACGCCGTGGCCAAGATGTCCACCACGCCCTTCCCAGACTGGCGCATCAAGGGGCCGAGGACCGCTGCCTGGCTGCTTGAGAAGATCTCGGAGGCGGGCTACACGCCGCTGCAGAGGCATTTCTGGTGGCGGTCGATCCAGGGGCTCACAGCTTCCGACTCGGGCGTGGACGACCACCACTTCATCTCCGAGGTTGCAGGAGCTCACCACCTACGACCAGCTCAACGCTGGCGAGCTGGTGGTGGTGGAGATCCTCTGCCGCCGCTACCAGCTCTGGGAGGAGCTTTACGCCTCGAGTCTGCGCGAAGCCGAGGCTGGCCAGGACGCTGCACCCTGGCTCGATGAGCGATCCATCTTCCTCGGGCAGGACAGGAGCCGCGGCTCAGCGCTTGTCTGCCCCGCCTTGGAGAGCTGGGTGGCGGAGAAGCTCCGAGAGGAAAGTGCCATCCTCAAGGAGCGCAGGAAGGGGCGAGAGGAAAGGCTGCTGGAGCGCGGCGTCGACTGCGGCGCGGCCTCTGGCGAACCATCGGCGGGCGCCAAGGCTAAGGCACGCGGCCGCGGGCGCGGCCGTGGCGCCTGAGGCGCCCCCTCGCGCCGGGGATGCCCCCGGCCTCGGCGCGAGTTTGCAGGGGAGGCGAGGCGTGCTGAACGATGCCACCTCGCTGGGTTTTGGCGATGACAGTCTCACGCAAAGGGACGCGCTGCCCATCCCGCTCAGCTTCGAGGCGCTCCAGTGCTTGAAGGGGTTCTCGGCCCTCGACGGCGAGCTTTCGCTGGGGCAGCGGCGCAAGGCCGCGCGCTGCAGGCGCCAGGAGCGCTGGATGCTGGAAGGCGTCTCGGCGCTCAACGAGCTGGGCGGGGGTGGTCGGTTGGCTGACAGCGGCGGGCGGCTTAGCTTGGCGCAGCGCTCCGCGTTGCAGCATCTGGGTGAGGTCTACGCCGCGGTCCCGCCGAAGACTGAGGATTGCACCAACCAGGAGGCGTTTCAGGCGCTTCTGGGGCTTCGACCTGGCTATGCTGATGAGCCAGCCATCGGGGCGAGAGCCGGCTACCAGCGCGGGAGGGTCTCCCTTCCTTCTGGCGGTGCTGGGCGTGTCGATCTTGTTCGACTACTTCCGCCGCACCTGCAGTCAGCGCTGGAGTCCGGGCACGGGTTATTGCGCTCGGAGCAGGAGGCTTCTGCTGCTCTGGAGGAGGCTGACGTCACGTGTTACGTCGACGGCAAGCTGGCCCAACGGGGCTTTGACTACGGACGGTTTCTGCTCGAGCTGTACGACGCAGGGATCGTTGAAGTTTTGGACTATGAGTTAGATCGGAAGGAGGAGACTGGCGTCTTTTTTGTGCCTCGCAAAGATGACAAGCTGAGGCTTATCTTTGACACCAGGAGGGCGAACTGTCACTTCAGGGCGCCCGATTACACGCACTTGGCCTCCGGCGACGCCCTCAGCAGCTTGGAGTGCACGCTCGGCGAGGAGGTGCACTTGGCGGCTGGGGACGTGGAGGTGTGCTTCTACCAGTACGTGCTGCCCACATGGGCCAGGAACTACTTCTGCCTGCCGAGCTTGGCGACTCGCATGCTGCCTGCCCGCCTGCGTGAGGCTCTGGGGCCTGAGCTTGCGGCGCGACCCAAGATAGCCTTCCGTGTGCGAGTTGTTCCCATGGGATGGAACTGGGCCGTCCACTTTGTGCAGTCTGCCCACCTGAACGTGTTGGCTTCGATCTCTCCGAACAACCAGTGGCTGGTGGACAAGCAGCCTGGGACGTGCCTCTCGGACAGCTCTGCTGCAGCCAAGGTCTTGTACATAGACAATTTTGCGGCCATTAGCACCAGTCGCGAGACAGCGTTGCAGGTTGTCAATGACATGCTGGGCTCGTTCACCAGTGAGGGCGTCAGGGCGTCGCTTGACTTGGACGTCGTCCTCCTCGGCTTCACGCTGGATTCCAAGGCCGCCAGGTGGCGCCCCGCACCCAAGAAGTTTTGGAGGGTGCATGGCTGCATCTCACACTTGCTGGAGCCAGGAAGGCGTATCACTGGGCGCCAGTTGGAGAGGCTTGTGGGCCACGTGGTCGCGCTGCTGCTGCTGCGGCGTGAGGCTCTCAGCCTCCTCAGCGCCGTCTACGTCTTCATCCGGTCGACCTACGACAGGGCGCAGCCGCTGTGGCCCAGTTGCCGACGTGAACTCAGGTGGGTGCTTGCGTTGTTGCCCACGGTGTTCGCCGACATGGAGAGGCCTTGGCACGCTGAGGTAGGTGCCTTTGACGCGTCGCCTTGGGGCGCGGGAGTCTGCACGGCGCGCTGGCCTTTGAGCGCGGTGCAGGCCGCAGGCAGGCAGCCGGAGAGGCTGCGCTTCCGCGGGCCCCTCGCCTCATTGGTGGCTCCGCGGGACGCTGCCCTGGCCGCTGACAGCATCGAGCTCTCTGACCCCGCCGCGCTCCTGCTCGGCCGCGCGGCGGGTTTCGCCGAGGTGAGCGCAGAGCTGCTGCGCGAGGCGACCTGGATCACGGCTGTTGCATGCAGATGGAGGCGTCAAAGTACTATCCACAGGCTGGAGAGCTCAGCAGGGCTTCTCTGGCTGCGGCGCGCCTCTCGCAATTCGAGATGCCACGGGCATCGCTTGCTGGGCCTGGGCGACAACATGTCGATGATTTGCGCCCATGAAAAGGGCCGTGCATCCGACTTTGGTCTCTTGTCCGGCTGCCGTTGCTCCTACGCCATATCGGTCGCCTGCAATCTCAAGGTCACGTTCAGATGGATCCCCTCAGAGCTAAACCCTGCGGATGGCCCGTCAAGACGGTTCCAGTCTGGTCCGGAGCCGTCTTGGCCCAAGCAGAGGGACCAGTTCAGGCGCCACGGCAGCTGCGGCCATGCAGGAGGTCCGCACGCCCCAGGCAGCGCCGCCGTTCGGCCAGCCAAGTCTGCCAGAGGTGGGAGGCGCTTCGCCGACCCGGAAGCGAGCCGTTGGTGGTGGCGAATCCGCAAGGATCAGAGCGCAGCTGCCGCCGCCTTCCGCCCAGGAGCGGGCCCGCTTGCTGCCCCGCCAGGGCTTTCTGGCAGCCAACAAGGTGCGGCCGTCCACTCAGGTGCTCTACCTGAAGGTGTTGCGGCTGCTGACAGGCTGGCTCATGGTGGACGCTCTGCCCGACTGGCCTGTGGCGGCCTGGGACGCAGCGCTGGCCGACTTCCTGCTGTGGGCCTTCGACCAGGGAGTGGCGCGGGCGACGGCTGCAAGGCTTGGCGCCGCGGTGCTGTGGGGGCACTCGCTGGCGGGCTGGAAGAGCCTGCATCCACCAGGCTCTCGTCCGCCTCTTCCAGAGCTTGTGGTTCGCGCAGCGGCAGCTTGGCTTGGGCACCAGGGCGAGTTTGCGACCGCCTTGTGCGTCATGCTGATGTTCGAGGGCTACCTGAGACCCTCGGAGGCGCTGGCGCTGCGGGCCGCCCAGCTCACCGGCCCGTTCGGCTCGGCCACCAGCGCGGGCTCCCACATGTCGGTGGTGGTGCATGCTGCAGAGTTGCAGCAACCGGGCAAGACAGGCGAGATGGACCATACCGTTGTGCTCGACCTCCCGCGCCAGCAGGCCCTGGCTTGGGCCTTGGCGCGCCTGCGCGACTCCCGCCTGGGCTCCTGGCACCCGCTGTGGGACTTCGACTACAACCTCCTCCAGCGGCGGTTTGGCCAGGCGCTCGCGGCTGTGGGAGCCAGCTGTTTAGCAGGCACGCTCTACAGCCTCAGGCACGGCGGCGCCAGCCACGACCGCCTGACGGCCAGCCGCACGCTAATGGAGGTGCAGCAACGAGGAAACTGGCGCGCCTTCAACAGCGTGCGGCGCTACGACAAGCACGGGCGAGTGGCGATCGAGTGGATGAAGATTCCCGCCCCCCAGCGCCAGGAGATCGAACGGTTGGCTGCTGGACTCGACGCCGCCTGCAAGCTGTACTCGCTTCAGCGGTGATGAGTAGCAAAGGTCATGATTCTCGCGTCTTCATTGAACTCTTTAGTGGCTCTGGCAACCTGGCGCGACACCTGCGACAGGCAGGGCATGCAGTCATTGAATGGGATGTCCTGCATGGGCAAGAGTTTGATCTTACCCGGCCTGCGCCGTGGGCTGTGCTTCGCGGCTGGATTGCCAGCGGCAAGGTCAAGGCTATTTTCATGGGCACGCCTTGCGAATCGTTTTCTCAAGCGCGACGAGGCGGCCCCACTTCTCGCATGCCTCGGCGCCTTCGTGACGGCTCTCACATCTTTGGCTTGCCAAATTTGGCTGCTCCCGATCAGGCCAAGCTGGAGCTTGGCAACCTGCTCGCCTCACGTGCAGGGCAGATCTGGCAGCTAGCTTCAAAGTTCAACATTCCTGTCGGCGAAGAAAATCCCTGCAGCAGTTGGCTTTGGCATTTTCCAGACAGAACTCGCCGCCATCACTCTCTTTTCTTTTTCGAAGCTATGGTTGACCAATGTGCGGCAGGTCGGCCCTTTCGAGCCCGCACTAAGTTCCAATTCTTGCATTGTCGTCCCTCCCCTTCTTTCTTGTCTATGAAATGTCATGGCCGTGGTGTGTGTGAATTTTCTGGCCAGCCTCATCTTGAGCTGTCTGGAAAGGAAGGCGGTGCTACTCACTTCCGCACTCACCAGAAGGCCGTCTATCCCGACGCCATCTGCAGGCAGCTTGCTCGAATGTTCTCGCAGACAATTGTCGCCAGGATGGTCTCCCGAAAATGGATGTTGATTCACGGCTGAGCCAGTGCAATGCTTGCTAATGGGTACTGTGTTTTTTGTAGATGGGCCTTTGCCGCCTGCCAAAGCTGCCCTGTGCCGGGCTCCGTTCCTCAAGCAGATACTGGAAAAAAGATGATGCATGTACGTTGTTTAACGAGTTTGCATCGCACAGTTCCGTTTCATCCCTGCTCATAGTCTTTCTGGCTCCCAATGCCGGCCCGTTGCCTCCAGAATTCTCTTTTGCCGCAGGCCTTTGCCGCCTGCCAAAGCTGTCCTGTGCCAGGCTCCGTTCCCCAAGCAGATACTGGAAAAAAGATGATGCAATTACCTTCATGTAGTCGTGCTTGATCTTATCCTTGCCATCGTTTACCTGCCCCCCGGTCAGCGCGCCGTCGCAGTAGCGCTTGCGCTTCGCCAGGTCGTTCGCCCACGTGGCTGCGCATTGCTCCAGGCCCTTCAGCTCTGGGGGGGGCTGTCCTGCCCCCTGCCACCACCGGGTGCCCCGCTGCGCGAGCTGGCCCTGGCCGCGGGCGCGGGCGGCGATCAGCCGCTGCTCGGGCTCCCCCCTGGGCCTGTTCCAGCGAAAGAAGCACCACACTCTGTTGCCACCCTTGTCCACGCCGTCGAAAAGGTCGACCCCGTTCGGGTTCGACATCTCGCCGCGGATGGTCTTGGAACCTGTCGCATCGGGGCCAACGCTGGCCTTGGCAACTCCATGGATCACGCCCCACCTCTTCACAGTCAGCTGCGGAACCTCCCTCATCATTCCATCAGCCCACACCGCGATGACCGCGCCCTCGGGATGGGCACCGCGTGGTCGTTCAGTTCGAATTGCCATCTCTTGTGGTGAGCTGGTGGGAGCAGTCATGGAGCTCCTTGCGCCGAGCCGTGATTCCTTGTCCCAGCTGAACACGTAGGTCGTCTCGGCATCGTCACCGAACTTGACGCCGGGCTTCTTCGCGACGGCGGCAGCATCGGCGCTTGCGGGCTTGCCCGCGGCCACGTCCTTGGCGGGTGGCTTGCCTTTCCGTGCCTTCTTCGCCACTGGTGGCCCATCGTCCTCGCCGTCCTCCTCGGCATCGCGCGCGGGCCCCTCTTTTCATCCCCCATCATCATTGCCGTTGCCCTCGCCATCATCATCCCCACGGTCACCGAATAGAGCAACGAACCACTTGGGTGGGGAAGTCCGTTCGCGATAGACGGCGACCGCCTGCACGCGGTTCTGAACCGTCTGCCTGTCGCCTCGCTCCACTCCGTCAGTTCAGCAGCGCCTCAGAATGACATGTCGTTGGTCTCGGCGACGCCGCGCGGCGACGGCTCTGGGTCGCCCTCGTGGAAGTGAAGGTCATCACCGAACTGCTCTGCAAAACTACGATAGAAACGCACTGGTTTAGTTGCACCACCCGTGCGATTACGAAGATGAACGCGATGACGGATGGAGATCACGATGGCGCTAGTGCTTTTGATTCATAAGGCGAGAATCGCTGCATTGACGATGACGACGACGGTGACGAGGCGCATCATGATTGCGATAACGATGCCGATGTACTTGGTTAGTGCGGGGGGGTGGGGCGACGGTGCCGACGCGCAGTTGGAGGGGGAAATAAGGCGGGAACGTTTGAATTGCAGTCTCCGTCAGCAGCGCGTTGAACAATGGGGTTTGCTCTCGGATGCGTCGCTTGTCGATATGTGATGTCTTGATGTTCTCACCGCACGTGGCCCACGTTGCCTTTCTCGCGAACTTGGAAGAGATACTCGCCAGTTGCTGACGTTCGGCATCAGCCATGTCGGCTGTTCGCGCGCAGCCATCGCACTCATACCGAACAGCTACGCACATAGCGCGAGGACGTAGGCGGCCAGGTCAGGGCGGTGCACGAGAAGGACGGGGACGGCTCCGACGACGAACCACAACCAAGACGAAGACGGGCAGGAGGAGGAGGAGGAGGAGGAGGAGGACGCGAAGCAGGATGAGGAGGAGGAGGAGGAAGAGGAGGAGGAGGAGGAGGGGGAGGAGTAGGATGAAGAGGAGGACGCGAAGGAGCATGCGGAGGACGACCCATAGAATCATTATACGTAGCACCCCGCAGATGCGGATACGAGCGGGGGGGCGGCGGGGGCGTCGGCAGTTTGCGAGACTCTGCGGAAGCCCGCCGCATGCGCCAAACTTTCACAAATTGTACAACGAGCCCGCAGCAGGCGCCGACTTTTTTCGTTAAACCCATGTGGGTAGGTTGCGGGTGGGTCGCCAATGACCGGCGGGTGCGTCGCGGGTGGGCCGCCGGTGGGTCGCGGGTGGGCCGCGGGTGGGTCGCGGGCGGGCCGCGGGTTGGTTGCGGTTGGATCGCGGGTGGGTCGTGAGCGGGTCGCGGGTGGGTCGCGGGATGGGTCGCGGGCGGGTCGAGGGGTGGGTCGCGGGTGGGTCGCGGGTGGGTCGCGGGCGGGTCGCCGGGTGGGTCGCGGGTGGGTCACGGGGCGGGTCGCGGGGTGAGTCGCGGGGTGGGTCGCGGGTGGGTCGCGGGGCGGGTCGCGGGGTGGGTCGCGGGGCGGGTCGCGGGCGGGGCGACGACAACACACAACAACAGCGCAACAACGCAACAAACAGAATCCACACCACGGATCCACTTTCCAACCACGAACCCAAGGACAATGAATGACCGTTCGGCCCCTTCAGTCTGACTACTGCCATTGCCACTACCACTACCACCACCACCACCACCAGCGCAGCTACGACGAACACTAACATGTCACACAGTAGCAGAGGTAGTAGCGAACACTAGTGGCCGTGGCCGCGGCAGGGTTAGCGGTCGCGGTAGTGGCCGCGGTAGATGCAGATGCGCAGTATTAGTCTACCTCTATACCCTTGTACCCGCTTCGGGCCTGCCGATCGGGACCTGCGGAGACCACTGGATGGCCACCGCGCCGCGCCCAGCTAGTGCCGCAGATGGCCGCTTGAAGTTCTGGTCTCACCAACGCGCCATTCCCATTTTCATCTTCCACAACACACTTCGGAATCCCGTTCACCCCCCACCCGTTGTTCGGCTCGCGTTCATGTATGCGTGGTTTGGCGGCAGGAGGTCCGCGTTCGAAAACGCCCTGATCCAACGCGACAGAGCCAGGGATCAGGACGCGCACGAAAGTGAAATTCCCGACGCCAAACCGCAAATACACACGAATGGGCCGGGCAACGGGCTGAAGGCGAACGGAATTCCGACGATTGTCGACGCGGGGGGCGAGGAGGAGGAAGAGCAGGACGAGGAGGGGGAGGGGGGGGGGCCGACGATGTGAGCGGGCGGGTCGGGCACAGACGGGCCCGCGCGTTTTCCCCCCATCCCCCCACGCATCATTCAATGTCTCCCACTCAATCCTCTTCGATCTGCGCGAAGCGGTCGGTGGCGGCAGCTCGCCCGGGAGCGAGGGCGCAGTCTGGGCGTCTCGAGCGGTCAGCTGCGCGGACTCGGCGACGTCGGCGCGAGCGCCCGCCGCAGCGGGCGCGGAGGGCTCTTGGAGGGGCGCCTCGTCGGACGAGATGGCCCCTGCAGGCTCGGCAACCCCTGGGGGCAGCCAAACTCAAACACCCGGGGTCATCTCGGAAGAACCGAGGGCCATTAATTTTGAATCGCACCTGCCGGCGCGGAACGCCGGGCACGGACCGCGTAAGTCGGGCCCACCGAGCAGGCAGCGTTCGTTGACCCTTCTCTGTCGGCGCAATCGGACTCCGCTGGTCCATATTGAGCTTTTTCTGTTCGCCGCGTTTCCGCGTTTTGTTTGGCTGCGCCGCGTGCGACGCAACCGCTGACCCGCGCGCCCCTTAGTAAAAAGTAACAAGTTATGAGGAGTGAGCAGGGCTCGGGCAAGTGCAAACGGCGCCCTGGGAGCTCGGAGCCTGTTCCGCCACGCCTCCAGTCGCGCGCGGACGCGCCCGAGGGCCGGGGATCGCTTGAGCGACGCGGGGCTCGAACCAGAGCGGCGGCGCCAGCAGGGGGGGAGCCGCGCCAGCGTGGGCGGCCAGGGCAGCCCATGAACAGGGAGAACAGAGGGGGGACAGGAGGGCGGCGGGGTGGATGGAGAAGGCGTGGGAAATCCTGGAAATATTGCCTGGATTCCTACACGCCCCGCGGACATCCCGAACCCCCCCCCCCCGAAAACTCCCCGCAAACTTCCCGCAAACGCCCCAGCGACGGGGACTTCCACCTCCGCGGGCACCAGACCGCAAGAAATTCTCGCCCCGCGCGAGGTGCT